GTCAGCATGCAAAACCTGCTCTTTACACCTCTGACATGGTCATGGGATTGGCGGGTTTCTTGTAGCCATGACGGTCCAGGGTGCTTTGTGTCTGAAGCATGTCTAACATTTCTCCCAACTATAGAGTTGGTTCATTAAAAGAAATCACAAACAAAGCCTCAGATTAAATATCAGAAAATTTAAACAAGCATTGCATTAATGGAAATAGAAGATGTAGAAGTTGCTCTCCACTTGGCAGGAAGGAGTGTATTTTATAATCTTAGTGGCAGAGGAAACTCCAGGCTTTGTCTTGTAAACTTTGGAGCAGGGACCATCTTCTTGCCTGCCAGTACAAAAAACAGCATATGTTAGGCATTAGAGTAGTATTAGTAATTGTGCAAATGTGCAAGGGAAAGATATCGGAGCTTTCCTTGAAGTGATCTTAGGGGTCTGTCAGTAAGCCACAAGGACAAGAAGGCTCCTGGTTAAGAATTTGGTTCAGTTCTATTGTGCCAAGGTGTTGCAGGTGTATAAGATGTTTGATCTATGTTCAGAGAGGAAAAAAACACCAAGAAAAATAAATGAATTCTGACAGAGATGACATCTACAGTTCAGATACACAACCCCACATTTCATCGCAATCTGCCATAGAAGCCACACTGGACAATAATAACAAATAACCAGGGGTATAAAGAATGTGCTAACACCATGAAGGTCCTTCTTGGGCAGATTTTACCTGTTTGACACACAGCTGAGAGTTTTGCCTCCTCCTATAATTTGGCAACACTTGTAGGGGCTGTCATGCCAATGAAGTGTTAGCTGAAGTAAATTCACTGAGTGTTCTTATACAGAGCATTAAGAGCATGTTAAAGAGCATTAAGGTTGAAATGAAACAGTTGGGAGTTTGGAAATTCCAGAATTAAGTTTTCTCCTAAAGCCTTAATTTGGTCCCCTTCTCTCTCTGTGCATCATGATGCAATCTGGAATTACATGACTGCATACTATTTTTTCAACGGGTCCTATACCTTGTCCAGGGCACAGGATGAACTGTTCTCTAGGGATGAATCAAGGATGTGGAATGGAGGAAGTTGTTGTCATAAGGCTCCTGCTCATCTGTTTCAGAAGTTTGAAAGTGGGTAGCAGATGAGCCAGGGGGCTGAAGGAGACAACAGGAGGGTCTCATAGTGGGAGATGGGTCAGCTATTTAGCCAAATCCCATGCTATGTTGTGTAATTTTATTAAAGTGGTTATTGGACAGCTGTATTACCTATCTTCCTTGCCTTTGCCATTTTGAAACAGACAAACATACAGAAAATGTCATATTTTGATGTGAGGTTTACATACGTCTAAGCCTGTGCAATGTAATGAAATAAAGTACTCCAGCAAAATGTCAATTAAGTTATAACTCACTTTCAAAACACATAAGAAACATGTAGACCATCTTTATTCTCACTGGTGAACAGTTACCTGCTCTCACAGCCCTACTGAAATGATTGGGATAATTAGTTTCTTATCCATCTTAGATAATGATATAGCTCTTAAAACCATAGTAACCAAGCACCTCCTGTTTTAATGTAGTTATTCTCACAATCCCCGCCACAATAGGTAAGTACTGTTATCCCACATGTAGCACTGAGAAGCAGAGACATGGTCACACAAAATGTATAGCAAGATGGAGAAAAGAACCTACATTTAGCTGCAAGGCAAGTGGCCCAAATAGCACACCAGTTTCTGTAGCCTAGCTGCTCATCACCTAAGTACTGGGTTCACAGTCTGCATGTAGTGAGGCATATCCCTGACAGGTTTATGCACATGATTCATGGGATTGGAGCCTGGTATAAGATGAATCTAAAGATCACACAAAATCTTTGCAATCTTCTAGAAGAGAAGTCTCCACTGCTGTCATTAGATGCGGAAGCCCCATTTTGCTTAGTAACAGCATTAAACAATCTTACCAAAATAAGACTTAAAGTCCATTTAGCAGCACAGGCTTTGTAATGCAGGATTTGTATTTACAATGAGAACTTCAATGTGAAATTTTATTCCATTCTTGGCCAACTTGGAGCTAATGTTGAATTTAAAGATGACTTGGTGAATTGGACGCCACTAAAACTGCATTTCAACTTCAAATTCTAACCCGCAGGTGTATATATACCTGTAGTATTGATTGGCTCCAACAAATCTGCAGATACATAGTATCTCCCTATACAAAACTTAAGTGATTCATAATTAGCACCCAAACCAAACTTCTGGATTGGATCCCCTTGACTTCAGGGAAGTGTTGATTTGTACTTTGCTTCAAGGATATGCCTGATAAAAAATGCCTTAACTTCATAGCAAAGACTAAACCTCATGCTAAATCCTTCTGACTCCTTTTCATTGACTTCTCAGACAGTTAATTTGTTTCCTGGAAAGTGTTTTTAAACAGCAATAGTTGTTCTGAAAAGGAGCATGTTCAGAATGCAATATGTGAGGAAAAAATGCAATAGGCTGAGTGGCAAACTCTTGAAAAGCTGGTGCTGTGGTTCGGTATGCTCTAGGGGTTTAACATTTTCAACTGGCTGCAATGTGAGGGCCACAGCCACTGACTGAATTCGGAAAAGTAACCAGGGTAACAGTGAGTTTCCGGGACTCAGTATGACAGGCTGACGGGATTACTCTTCAAAGCAGTCACTCCCTTGGGAGCGGAGACCTGAAGGGAGGGGTTCTGAGTTAATTTAGCGCACACACTAGAACAAGGGTCATCAGTGGCAGGTCTTTGCTGAAGAGAAGCCTCCCGCAGTAACAAACAACTCCCCTTTCAGTGCTATTTTGACTAGTTTCAGAATAGCCTAAGGAGGCACAAAACAGAGCAGAACCCAGGGAAAGGACACAGAAAAAATGATGCAGACTTGCTCACGTTGGTAATTGCGATCAAGTATTCTCAGACATTTTGAGTCAGAGCCTTAGGCTTCCCCTGCAGTCTTATCCTACACATCCAGTGGATGATCCTGGGAGAAAGGGGATAGGGGTTGAGCTGCCTCAAAGCTCTGGCAATCCGCAGATGCTGAAACTGCCCCTTGGGGCCACAGTGGAAAAATCAGACAGATCCAGACCCTAAGGACTAGGGCCAGCTTGGCATCAGAAGGGCATATTAAGTGATTTAAAACTAGTTTTGATGTCTACTGTGCTTGGTCCTGTGCCCAGTTGGACTGGAGCACCCAGACAGCTCATCCTTTAACATTTCTTATCCTATTATGGCAGCTGATAGCCATCTGCAGTTACTTACACTCAAGCCCACCTACACACTGTCTGTTTCTGTAAATCATTTTTGGGAAACCGGTGACCAGAAAGAATCTGAAGGCATGTTTGGAAGTTGTCTGGCCTTGTAGGTCAATACAAGGAACTATGCATGAGGAGTATCGGCTGCATTTTAAAAGCCTGTATGGAAATCTAAGTGGCCAAATGTCTGTGCAGATGCAATTCACGCTTCGCTCAAAGTAATTTATTTCAAAGATGCAAAGGAGACAGTATTCTGTATGAAATAATCACCTGCAAATGTATTTGAAAATCCTCATCCTCTGATTTCAGGCAGCTGCACAGGCTGCGAGCCAAGAAGAGAACATAGTTAAATGTGGCTTCCATTGCACTTGACCTTTTAAAGCTGAAATGGCCCAATGCCTCCTTCTCACTTTGTTTAAAGCCCAGTCTGCTTTCAATCTTGTAAAAGCAAAGTTCACGGATGGAGAAATTTTATGACAAAAAATGTAAATGCTTGAAAAATGGATTTAATGGAAATGCTGACGCAAGCTCAAATGCAGCACTGCCAAAAGGCCAGATTAATAACAAATCATTCTTGGGAAGAGCGTTCCCATCTCATTCCAAGGGCTGCTTGCAGGTGGCTGCAGGGCCTTTCTTTCCGGACTGCAGCCGTTGGCTGTGCCACCCTTACGTCTCATCTCTTTGGCCCCATTTCCTTTCCCAGCGCCAAGTGCCTCTTCCAAAAACATCACCGCAGTTTTACCACTGCCGTGGGTCACTCCACAAAGACAGCAGCTGGGCGAGCAGGTTCAGCCAAAGCCAAGGGGCTGCGGAAGGGGACTGATGTAGTGGCTGGAGTGGGAGGTATGAGCCGCGGCCCACGCGTGGCACCGCCATGCCCCGTAACTCTCTCTGGCTCCTGTTAGGGTGCAGTGGGATCTGCTCTGCCATCGCAGTGGTGCCACCTGACACGCTACATGTGCGGACTGGAGATTAGCTGGTGGGATCAGGGGCCGAGGCCCAACAGCACGGGGAGCGGGTCTCAGGCAAGCTGGGTGCCAGGTGCCACCCGTGGGGCGGCCACGTGGGCCCGTTATGGCGCGAGGGGAACCAGCCGCAACCCTTGCTCGCGGGGGTAATAGCGCTGCGGCGCCGCTGGCTGCCCCCGGGGGCGGCCGCCTGCACGCGGCAGACTGGGCTGAATCGCGCCGTGTCACGTCTGTCAGGGGCCGCGCAGCCGCCGACCCG